TGATGTCCAACTCCTTAGCTTTTTGGACTCCTTCCATAACTGCAAAGATCTCAGCTCTAAGGGAGTCACCCACTCCAATTGGGTCTGAGAACATGGCAGAAATGACCCCATTTTCATCCCTAAAAACACCCCCAATCCCTGATTGTCCCGGATTTCCCCTTGTTTTGTTGTTGTTGTTGGTGATCTCTCATCACCCCTAGGATGTACTTTTTCAATTAATACTTTTCTTTTTTATTTATTATAAAAAAAAGACTAAATGTCCAAGTGCTTCAAGTGCCTAATAGGTGACAAACATCAAGCTTAGACTCTTTGGACACAACTATTTCTTCACAAGGATGATTCCTTGCTAGTGGTATTGTTCTTGGATACCTCCTTCCATTGGAACTCAAAATCTACCTCACCTTTGTAGCAGAGACTTGAGAATGGGGCCCTATGTTACCATCCATTTGTCCCATGTTGGTAGTATGGGATGCTAATATGAGATATCCCACATCGGTAGTATGGGATACTGTTGTGTGGTATAAGTGCTTAGGTTCCCTCCCTCTAACAGCTAGCTTTTAGGGGTGAGTTCTCCTAAGGCACGTATCAAAGGATGTTGAGAAGTTGTGCTTCATTCTTAAATTGAATAGTTGAATGGAGTTGGCATTTTCAAGCACAGACTGTAAGCTAGATTTCTCTCTGCATTAGGAAACATGGTTCAAAGTAGTGATAGGTGTAATACACAAAATTTATGTATTGAGCGATTCAAAGGGGTGATACTCATGGGTTGCAGCTTTCATGTTTTGAACCATGTCATCTCTGGGAAGGGTATTGAATATTGGCTATTTGTCATAAATCCTTGTATTTAGCATATTAGTGACCCTGAAAATGATGCATATCTTATGCTATGGTGTTCTACAAACCTTGTTGGACACAATTCTGGCTCCTCTAAATCTAACCTTAAAATACCACTTTCCCATAAGGAGACACTAGAATTCCAAATGGTGAAAAAGTGTGAATGTTGAGCCATCCTGCTTCTTGAGTCTCATTGTGTTTCAACTTTCAAGTCAAAATGATAGTTTGGTGGAGTTGCACTATTCCTTGCAAAGGAAGCCTTTTGAATCCTATTCAAGCATATCCAGTACCATTCTGACATAGTGACATCTTGAGAATCAGCACAAAGTGGAAAGTTGGATTAGAGCATCTTTGACTACAGCAATTCTTCCTCACAATACTCCTATTGAAAAATGAAACAATATGCCTTCCAGAATATCCAATCTCTGGTTGCTTTGAAGATATGAATCATCTATATCTCTCAAGGTGGTTCCTATTTAAATTGAGGTGAATTAGCCTACCACACATTCAAGAGCACCTGCCAAGTTGTTAATGTTATCAAATTCACTTGCACCATCTTGCCTATTTGGATGTTTATTTTGAGTCCCTTCACCCTTTTAAAACAATAATGCTTACTTATATAGTACTTGTGGAGTGGAATCTTTTTTTTTTTTTTTTGATCGGTATGGTACTAGTGGAATCTTTACATATGCTAAGCATATGTACCTTGACCATTTTAGGCAACAATGTTGTATACTTACTGTTTATACAGCTAGTGAAATCACCATTTCTTATCATTCTCATTAGGAAAAAACAACTGTTAGATATTTCTGTATGGGTGTAGCCCGATTGTAAGTTTCAAATGTGAGTGATATTTCTTTTTCCTTCTGTAGTACATTTTTAAACTTGCAGATTTTTGGCTATATTTCTCCCCTATTTTCTGTTTAATTCTTATTGACATGCATATTTTATACTGCAAAATGAATTTTCTTGACTAGAAGCAGGAAAGCCCTTGTCTCTGTGTTGGCCTACTAACCTGTTGAAGTTACTTATTGGATTAATTAATCAGATTTACCAACCTGAGGAAGTAGAAACCGTTACAGTAGTTCCGAAGACCAAGGAGGATAAAATGAAGGAATATCAAACTGCGGCAAAGCGTCTAGATAATGCTCGCTTGGTATGTCTTGGTGTTATACTTCATTTCTAGTTCTCTCCCACATTATGAATAGTTTTGATCATCTTTTTGAATCTAGTATTTGTAATGATATTTGCACAAACACATATTTTATCTTGTTAGTGCCTTTAGTACCATTTTGGATGTAGCAGTTAGTGGATGGTTCTTATACTATGTTTTGCAAATGTCCATTATAATTGTGAATGTGATGCATTAAAACCACAATAACCTGTCACAATATGCTTGTTTTGGTGTTATTACTTCAAGGTGGTTTTGTCAGGAGAGTCTATGCTAATTTTTGTTTTGTTTATATTTTTTATAAATAACAAAAAATGTACAGATTTACAATCAAACAAACGAGAGAAAAAACCTCTTATTTCTCCCTTTCTTTTTTCTTACATTTGTGCCCAGAAAATTTGATCCTCTCCATCCAGTTTTTAGCTAAAGTATCAGCCGCACTGTTAGCAATCCCTTTTACCCATTGAAATTTCACTTCTGCATCTTTAGTTAGGCATCTGAGTTCTTTAGCTCATCCCTATAAGCCCATAAGCTTTGCTTCCCTGCCCTGTAACCATCCCACCACCAGTCTAAAATCTCTTTCAATGATCAACTTATTTATATTCATATTATCTTGTGCCCTTTGCACTCCTTCCATCACAACCATGGTTTCCCCCAGTGTTCTCAACCCATCGTTGACCCGTCCGGTTGAACCGTTCGAACCGTTACCTAGTCAAGATTCTGGGTCTAGTTCAAGTAAAACCAGGAGAAATGCTAAAAACCATTGACTTTGTCAAAACTGCTTGATCCAGATGATTGGACCGTTGACCCGGTCGACCTGGTGACCGGGTCGCGGGTTGCATACTATGTATGCAAACCTTGGGAGGCCATAACTTTGCACTCTGATGCCCGATTGAGGTGTTTTTTTTTTTAAATTTTAATTTTGGGTAACTTTTCGAGATCTATGTGTCCCTAGGTGCCGTTGGCGCCTTGCCCTGCTATTTTCGCGAAAAAACCCCTTTTATGGCCTCAAATTGCAATTTTTAATAGTTTTATAAGTAGAAAAAATAAACTGAATTAAAAAACATAAATTAAATATAAAATACTACATATAATATCTGAAACATAATTATACACTTTTTATTGATAAAATATGCATTTGTACATATATACACATTTGTATATATTTATACGCTGATGTGGCATGGTCTGAACAGTTTGACCTGGCTGGTCAGACCGGTGACCTGTGACCCGGAGGCAAAAACAGTTTGGCCTCCGGGTTGGTTTTTAAAACACTGGTTTCCACCCTTAATGAGTTTCCTACACCAACTGGGCCCGAATAATATGACCTTCATTTGTTTTCTTTGTATTGCAGTATTGCTGTATATTGTAACTACACAATTGTTGAGTTAGAACAGGACCTATGAACTATTCTCCAAAAGAGTTTATCCATTGATACACGGGATGCTTGTATGATCACTCTTCATGTAACTGTGTTTTATGAACAATGAAAAGAAATAAATGTTATTCCTAATCTAGTTTAAACGTTCTACCCAAGTATCCTTGTATATATACAAGTGCTGATTCACATCAAATTATTAGAATTAGATCAATGCCAATATGATTGAAACTCTTTAATTTAGTTATGAGATGATGCCAATATATTTCACTATTTTGTGGTTTAGGGTATCGTGATTTTTATTATTGTTATATTTGTATCTGGACTCAATCTAGATGGAAATAGAATTGAATGGAAATACGTTATGATTGCTATCCAACATTTTATTGTTGTAATTATCTATGTTGTGAATTATTTCATAAGAATAAGAAATGTTGTAAGTTAAGTTAATTGGATGGAGATTTGATACTTTAGGGATCTTGCCTTCCATTTTTCTTTTCGTGATTGGTAAGGGATACTTGTCGTTCAGAGAGCAAATTTGGAACTACTTCCTATACCAAACAAAGTAAAGCCCAGAAGCCTTATTTGCATTGTGGAGAAACAGTCTAGTAAATTAGTGAAGCCCCTGCCATGTCAGTTGTCTTTTTTATTTACCTGTTATTAGTTTTTTGGGCCTTGTTATTAGTCTTTCTGGACCTTACTAGGCCTATTATAGCTGCTGTTACTATTGCTGTTATTGTTTATTAAGGAGTGTTTTGGGTGGCAGGGGCATAGATGTCATTGTAGATCTTGTTATAATAGAAACATATAGATACTAAATCTGGGCGGCAGAAACAGATTTTGATCTGCTTTGTTCTCGTTCTTCTTCTCTTCTCTTCTCTTCTCTTCCTCTCTTCTTTCTTCTGGTTTTCTCTTATTTTTCTTTTGGTTTTCTTGCTGAAACTACATCAGAATACTGGTTGACTGTGAACAACACCAGCCATCTTGGTATCAGAGCAAGGTTTAGGGCTTGCTAGGGTTCCTATCTAGGCTTCGTCCAGCCGTCTACTTAAGGATGTATAAGGGCTGGATATTTCAGTCTGTCTTGCCTGATTCTTGGAGGTTTATTGGAGAAATTCTTGCTGCCCAAGATCTGCATTCTTGGAGATCACCAATAACCAGGAAGAATCAGAGTTCTTTGGATCAGATTAAGGTTTAGGGGCTAAGCCTTCAATGGTACTGGCACTCAGTGGTTTCTGAGTAGAAAATAGTTCCTTTATGAGATCCAACAGCTTGTAGGAAATGATTAGGATCTTCTGGAAGGAGTGGCTGAGTCCTTTTGTTTTTCTCCCTAGGCTGGTTCTAGGGTTTCTACTGAGAACAAGTCAGTTCTAGTGTTTTTGACTTGCCCCATTTACTTATACTGTTCTGGTTTCAGTACTGGACTGTTAAGGGAGTATTTCAGACCTGTAGTTTGTACTGGATTACTGCATAAGCTCTGTTAAAGACCTGTTAAGGGAGTATTTGTGAGGTCTTTGTGGTGTGATCAGAATTGAACCAGGTGGAAAGGAACCAAAATCCTTTGGAGGAGGATCTATGGGGTCTGGGAGTATGTCAGATAATACGTTTTAGATTACTACTGTTAAATTTGATGGCACAAATTACCTGGAATGGGCCCAATCGGCCATGATGGCTATTGGGGAAGGGGAAAGCTTGGATATGTAATCAAAGACATTAAAAAAGCAGCAAAGGAAGACTCAACCTATGCAAAATGGGTTTAAGAAAACTATCTTGTGATGACTTGGCTATGCAACTCTATGCAGCCACACATCAATAGAAATTACTTATGGGTGAAGACTGCTAAGGAAACCTGGGAGAATATGAATCAAACCTACTCACAGCCCCTTAATGTTGCTAGGGCATATGAACTGAAAAGTGAAGTGAATAATCTTAAACAGGGGAGAAACCTGTATCGGTTTACTTCTCAACCTTAAAATCTCTCTGGCTTGAGATTGATCATTGAATGGGAAAGCCAAAAGGATGCAGCAACATTGAAGAAGTTGGTTGAAACAAATAGGGTGTTTGAATTTCTTACTGGCCCCTACCCTTCTATTAGAAAGGCATGTGAGGACTTAAAACAACACGTGACTGGGAAAGCACCATTGGTAGAGGGGAGAAACTTTGTCTAGCATCGTCATCCTCGAGCTCTACTAGTTACTTGAAAAGCTCAAATCAGTCGTTGCAGTGGATTCCAGTTAAAAAGTTTTGCGCTACTTGCCAGATTGTCGCAACCCGAGGTATGTCAAACGAAGTGAATTCCAAAATCTCGAAGTGGAGATGTTGTCAGAAGACGAAGACTACTTTGACTCGGATACCGGAGAAACTCTCAGTTTGGGTAGTATCGATTTACAAAAGTCGGGCAATATCCTTGAGGGGAGGGCAGTTTGGATTTTGAGTTGTCACAGAGGAGAAAATACAAGGTTTGTCTTCGTCTGGTTTGGGATTAGAAGAGAAAAAAAACGTTGAGTTTCAACGACTGTGTACAGGTTACTCCTCCAGATAGTGTGTTGCACAATGGTAAGGTGGTTTTAGCAACCCTTACTGAGGCTTGACAGGAGACAACTCTTCCAACAACTGAGACTATTCCTGAAACTCAGCCTATTCAAGGTATCAGTTAAGAGGGACCTGGTTCTAATCTATTGCATTACAGAGAAACACCGTTGAAGGGGAAGCTTTTTGAGGAAACTTCATTTGTAAGGGATGAAGAAGTTTGGGTCGAACCTAGGTCATCTTCATAGCAGAACCAGTCAGAGGGAAAGGCCTTAGATACGAACTCTGTTGCTCAAATCCCTTTACAACCCTCTTCTCACTTGCCTCCAGCGGGTCCAGGTATGTATGTCCTTTTGTTTTCTGGTTCTAATCAGTGTTCTTTGCTTGAAACAGGTACCCCAACATCACAACGACTAATACTAGGTGACAGAAAGGGAAGTAAGGAGGTTCTTCCTTTCGAAATAAAGGAGGGAGAATTGTTTACAAGTTAACATGACTGTTAGTGCTCAAATTTGGGAGCCAAATTTGTGGGTTGCTGGAGGAATACAAACAGAAAGAAGAGTTCCTAGAAATAACCCCAAAAAGGGTAGAACCTACTGTAAGCCCCCAAAGAGTGGAGATGGAAATAGGAGTTGTAGAGCCTTCTATGACAACTGAGGTCAACAAGAGTAGGAAAAAAAAAGAAAAGATCAGAAGTGGAGAGATTAATTTCGGACATTGAAGGGGATATTGAGTTAAGTGGAAGAGGGGAGAGATGAAAGGTTCCTTACTAAAGGTTTCTTAGTAATTTGGAGGGCCTAATGATCTAAGAGTCTAAATGAAAATAATTAGCTGGAATGCTAAATTGGGTGACACTTGGTTGGGCCTCTAGACAATTCAAAGACTTTTAGTAATGGGCTTTTAATTGGGCCATCACCCAGTATTTCAAGATTTAAGGAAGGGGCTGGGCTGAAGGAGAAAAGGGCATCATGTGATCATTTAAATGTTCACATGACCAAGGCAGGACCGAAGGTGATAAACCATTGTTTAGGTTTATCATCTTTTAACTTGAGACCTGGCTCGAAGAGGGGGGATTGAA